ACCTGCATCCATGAAAAGATGACAGTGTGTGAATGACGAGGCAGCTCCCTCAGGTGTGTGTGCAGGTGGGTGAGTCGCTCTTTATGCTTCGCACTCGTCTGCAGGGACACTGAAGGAAACAAAAACATGATCAAATCGTCGTCCCGAGCAGAGCCCGCTCACGCTCCCGATCAAAGGTGCGGCTCTCTTGCAATCGTGGTTCGATTATGGGGGCAAGAAAAGGCAGAATGTTGTGGAGTTCAGGGCAGCAGGAGCAGTAAAGACTAAGAAATGGAGGTAAAGGTTAAAAATGTGGGCAGTGCTGGGGGCTTAGTGCAGCTCTGGACAGGGGTACAGCAGACAGAAAGCTGTAGCCCCCTCTCCCAGACAACAAGTAATGGATCCTCCTCGACGGCTTGAGGCGGATGAAAAGGTAGAAGAAGAGGAGGAATAGGAGCAGGGAACAGTGCAGTGGCATACTGGGAAAGGATGAGGAGGCACTTACTTGTCCTCTGTGTGCTCGGGGATGCCGGCGGCTGCCAGCGCAGCTCGGTACTGCTGCAGCACTCCTCGGACGCTCTTCACGAATCCCTTTGAAAGCGGGAAGAGCGGGAAGCCGATGTCGGGGTAACCGCTGCCCTCCGGGAGGAAGCTTCGGTAGCTCTTTCTCCTTTTCTTTGGTCTCACCACTGGCTGGCTCCCCGAGGAGCCCGCCCCTCCTGCGCTCGCTGCGGCAGAACCCGACTCGGACGTCCCGGTGCGGCTTACGGAACCAGGCCCCGCAGCGCTGCCCCTGTTTTCACTGCCCAGAGAGCTGTTCCCCAAGTTGCTGTCGCAGTCTGAGTTGTTGCTCAGCTCCTGCTGAGAGGCTGCTGTGGTGGAGGGACTCAGTCCTGAATCCTCCAGCTCCTCCTCCATAATACTGGTGACGCCTGCTCCCGTGTATCCCTCCTCCCCCGCCTTACCAGGGCTGCTGTGAGCCACCGCCACGGGCCCCGATCCCAGGGCCAGCTGCTCATCCAGAGGCTCCACAGATGAAGGTCGGTCCTTGGAGTGCTGAGCCCTGGAGTACGGGTGTGCGGCCTGCCCTCGCTCCGCAGAGTCGTGCAGCTCCAGCCACGACTCCAGCCGGTGGACGAGCCGCCAGCCATTAGAAACAAAGTGCTCCTGGATCTCCTGCTTGAAGACCTCAATGGGATTCTGGAGGAGTTGCGTCATAGACTGCACCATCTTGATCAGAGCCATCTCATTGTAGCAGCGACTGTTCTCGTATCCCTCCTGCAGGCCTCGGTCACTGTCGAAGCCGGCCTCGTTGTAGTAAGGCTCATTGACGAGGATAAGGCCTGCAGGCACACATCGAATCAGGATTTGTGAAAAACAGAAAAATAGCTCAACACTGTGAAATCTGCTAATTCAACTGCAACATCTGAAGCTAAAATATATCCGAGATTTAAAACCTGGATTCTGTTAGTCTGGCAGGCTGCAGATGTTGTATGGACGTGGTGTCATGTCTGTGTGTGAGGCAGATATATTTAGTTGAGTAACTTCTGAGCAAATGAAAACATGAATAAAACATTTTCAGCTGCAGAGAAGAGAAGCAGCAGTGTGTGTGTGTGTGTTCTTGGTATTACAGCAATCTGGGGACCTACATCAGTTTCATGTTCACATTGTGGGGACGTGTCTTCCTTGTGAGGACAATGTACTTTGTTAAGTTAGGAATGCAAGCTTTAGAGGTCAGAGTAAGTAAAGGTTAGACCAGGGTGAGAGAAAATCTGCAGGAAATGAAAGTGAGTCAGTGTGAGGTCCTCTTAAGTGATGGATGCACAATCTGTGTGTGTGGGTGTGTGATTGCACTAACCTTGTATCGAGATGAGGACTTGCAACAGGCTGGACTTGCTGGTCCATCTCTCAGTGCCCTGCAGATCACATCAGCATTAAAACAGCTCAGCACTGACGTCTCTGACTAGTGAACCGTTCACTTAATGCTACAATAAGCTAAAGTAAAGTCGTCCCCAGATTACACTTTTCTCACATTAGATTACATTAAAACATCCAAAGGTACTGTGTGTGTGCAGCCCGGACAGGAACACCCCAAAACATTCAGCAGTTATACAATTCGTACTTTAGGTTCATATGTTGAGAGTTTAACTGTAACTATAACCTGGTTGGTTACAGTTACAGTGCTGTTTCTAAGTTAGTCCTCTATTCTTTTCATTAAAGGTGAAAGAAATGTGTGTTATTCTCCGTGTCTCCAACTATCTTGTCTATCTTGTCTCCCTCTTCTCTTCCCTGAGCCTGGTTCTGTAGGAGGTTTCTTCCTGTTAAAAGGGAGTTTTTCCTTCCCCCTGTTGCCAAGAGTCATATATCCACCCTGAAATCCACACCACTCTAATCATCCATAGTGGTTGAATCAGCCACACTGAAGCAACAACAACAAAACAAAACAAAACAAAACAAAAAAAAAAACAACCTACTACAATCAGGAAAATCTGAAATGTGACACCTCGTACATCAGATACACCAGAAAGACTCTACTGACTGCCAAGTCCAATTAATTTAAAAGTTTAAACTGGTTTAACAAAAACACTTTAGGGTGATCAACTGAATTTTTCAGGCTGAAGTTTGGAGAAACACACTTCACTGATGTTGTTTATGATTGTGTGATGAAGAAGAGGGACAGGTTGGTGAACACTGTACTGCAGTGACCTGATAAAAGTCCACTGAGAATACTCTGAATCATGTGCTCGGGCTGCAAACACCATCTTGAGGCTGTCCACACCTCTGGCACTCACCTTGCCTATCCAGGTGCCCAGCAGGCTGACGCAGACCTTGCCGTTGTCGTAGAGGTTGGGATTGAGGCGGCCGCTGCACTGGGACAGGTATCGAAACAGAGGCGGCACAGCTGGGTAGATGTTAGGCAGCTGGATGTCAAACAGGAACACACCGTCCTCGTAGGGCGTACGAGTCGGCCCTTTGATCAGAGCCGAGAACAGGTCCTGTGGTGGAGCGACAAAAGAAAAGTACAACATGTTTGATGTTGTAATCTAAAGGAGGCCGATGTTCAGGCGTCTGCAGGAGAATACGTATGAGATAGCAGAACAAAGTACAGCGCAGCAGACGTAAGAGTAAAGCCTGGCTGCTTCTACCTTTCATTCCCTGTAATTTTTTAAATATTTATTCTTTTATTAATACTTTTAAACCTCATGCTGGCATTTGGGTTTGAAAAAGGCCCATTACTGATCATGAGGCTTTTAAGAACTAGCAATTTCATTTTATGCTGTCAAAACGACTTTTTCAGACTTGTGTAAAAGGAATGAAAATATTTTCTGCACATTTGTGGCCTTGAATCTCTGCTGAAGGCATTTTTTTTAATACAGCAGAGAAAAACAAAGGCTTTTGAATTACTACATATCTACAAATGATTAATTTCACCTAAATATGAAGGTGGTGGTAAATTTGTGTCCATGTTTAGTGTCTTTTAGCAAATCTACAGATTTTCCAGCATTAAATGAAACCGTCCAAATTTGGAGCATGTTACTAAAGAAGAATAATCTGTTTAATGATGAGGATCATTTCCTGCTCCATATTTTTACTCTTTGACTCCACTACACTAGCTTTGCATAACCTGCAGTTCAAAATAATCAAAATAATCCTCAGCTTTTACGCAACCTTCAACTCAGCTTTTCAATTAATCTACACTGTAAACAAGACAATTTAGCTCCTCCCCTTTTAAGCCTTCAGACATGCTCACAAACTTTGTTTCCGAGAAGAAACCAAAGGTGGAAAATCAGGAAAAGCAGAGAAGTTTAATTCTGAAAAATGACAATAAAAGCATGCACTGCTTTACTTTCCCGGCATTAATGACAGAAAACCCACCATGCGGTCCTCAAAGGTTTTGACCATGATGCCATCAGGCAGCGATGTCGCTAGCAGAGCCATTTCCTTCCTCACTGTGCTGAAGAACTTCTTCGCCTCCGCAGGCTGGAACTCCATTTTCTTAAACGAGTGAGTTTCTGTGAGAGACAGAAAGGAGAACGGCGATGAATGATGACTGAACACGACCACAGTAAGAAAGAAATCTACACAATTAACTGAGCATTCAGTACACAAAACGATGCGTCCACAGGTGCGACTGTGTTAGTGAAAACCATGCAGGAAAAAAATAAATCCTAAAGCAACAGATCAGGCTGATGGTGATCTAAGACCCACTTCTGACACGACGTGTATATTTATTGTATTTGCCGTTCATCCTCTGTCCTCCTGAACGATCTGCAGGTCTCTACTGGACTTACAGGTTCAGCTACACCGATGATGTAAACCACCCGATTGTGCCCATAAACCATATAAAGCAAACATGGACTCAACATCTGTGTTTTGGCCGCAGCTGTGTTTGTGTTTTGGAGCCAAAATTGACCATATTTGGATGAGGGGGCGGGGTGTTTAGTTACCAGCTAGGGCGAGTTTAGGAAACCATCCGCAGAGGCCATAACTGTTTTCTAGCACGCTGTAAATAAACTTATGTTGTCTCTATTTTTGAAGCCAGCTTAAAGGAAGTGCACTTTTTTAACATTTCAAGTTTAGTTCATTTTTCAGCTCTGGAGAAAAACCAACAGCAACATCTCAGCGCATTTATGTGGTTTGTCAGTACCTTTTCTTTGTAAAGTTAACAGACAGAAATTCCTGCCTCAGACAGTCGAGCAAGGTTCAGTAAAGATCAAGACACTGGAGGTGAAAATAAAACCAAAGGAGATCTGGAGGAGGACAGATGGTGTAAAACAAAGACAACAAGCGTGGGGGAGGAAGAGGAGGCGGAGGGGAAGAGAGTTACAGGTTACACATCTGAATGTCTTACCTGGTGCCCACTCTAGCACCGAGAACACCTCCCCCTTGGCACTGGTAAATGTCACGCCAGGTTTGCCGCCGCTCTGCTGGCACAGTACCGGCGTGTCACTGAGAATCTCACTGGGCCACTCCTGCTGACCTACGGGTGTCTGCGCCTCCTGCTGGGGCTTTTCATCTCCAGCTCTCTCTGCCTGTAAGCAGCGACAGGTAAGACGCGGTCTAATATCTAAACGAGGTAAGAGGAAAATGATTGTACACACCTGTTTGACACCCGCCTCCATCCCTGCTCCCACACTCCCCACTGCCTCCACCACAGCTTCCATCTTCTCCTCCTCCACGATGGCCACGTTGTCCAGCGTCTTCCTCAGGTTTTCCTGGAGCTTCTTGATATCGTCTAGGAAGCGTTTCTCCTTGGTCGGTTTTTCTTGGGTCGTCGGCGTCACCGAACTCGCCACGTTAGTCGTGGAAGTGGGTTCGACGGAGGTCGGGGAGGTTGGGGAGCCACCGGTCCAGAGCTGCTCCACAGTCATGTTCTTCAAGCTCTCCAGGATCTTCAGCGCCTCTTTCAACTCCCTGAAGCCCCGAGAGGCTCCATCCTTACCGGGTTTCTCCGCTCCGTTCACAGCTCCTCCTGCAGCGGTTCAGACACAAGCCGACAAAATGACCACAAACGCAGTTTACAGCACAAGACAGAAACTGTTTCTTTGATACGAAAGCACCGTGTGATGTTTGATTATTGACTGCATCAATTATTTGTTGTATTTGCTCCATTTGACTTATTTTTATTTTTTTATAAGGGGTTTAAATATATTGTTTTATATACACAAAGTCAAAATAAATGCAAATAAATCCATAAAATGTGGTCAACAAATTCCACCAAAATACCAGAAACGACGTCACATTATATATTTTTTAATATCTTCACTCTTTACATGAAAAACATCCACGAGTCTTCAATTTATAGGTTAATTTCATTTTTTTTTTTTTAAACAGCCAGGTATCATAGTTTTAGCATCCACTATTTAAAAAAGAAGAAAATTTGAACATGTTGAGGGTTATTTTCAGATTAATAAACAAACATGCTGCTCTAACAAGTATTTAAGGCAGCAGGATGGTGGTTGAGTCAGAGTGAACTACAACTAGAGGTGAGAAATATAATATAGGAAAATGCCATCAAGATAAATACTGAGATGTTTTGCAGAATTTTAGAGGAGCATGTGACTGGAATACATAATACTTGCCTAAAGACATGAACTGCACTATAAAGTTTGATGGCAGATGTACCTGAGAGCTCATATACCAACATCTGTTGGTTTCCTGTTTCTCTGTGGTTCGTCACATGGTCCATTTAATGGCTGACTGGTTACAGCTCCATCCAGCTGCAACCAGCAGCTTTTTTCTGCAGCTGTTGATGACAGCTGTCTGAACTAAGCTCGTAAGACCAGACTAATATTTTTTTTGTATGGATGAAACTTCTTCCAATGAGTTCCTACCTCCACCAGAAGCAGGACTCGCCACAGACGCTTCGCCCTCCTCTCCTGAGACTCCTTTGGTGGGGCTGGTAACCCCGGCTTTGCTGCCCTCCTGCGGTGGGATGATGAATGTCGTGGAGCCAGTGGGGGTGGGGGTCGGCGTCGCAGTATCCGTGGCATCCGCGTTGTTCACGTGGCTGTCGTCCTCTGGGGTCAGACCGTTGTCCGTCTCCCAGCTGTCGCTCTCGTCCTCCCACTCCTCGGTCGACAGAACGCTGCTCGTTTCTTCCACCGAGTCGTAGTCCGTCTCCTCGATCTCCGATTCCACGTTGTAGAGGTGCTGCAAGAGCGATCGGGGGTCAGAAACAAACGTTTCACCTGCGATTACACAGACATCACAATGAGCTTCAATTGCTTACCTGTGGCAGGACGATGGTCCTCGAGTTGTCTGCCCACACCACCTCTACTTTGCTGCTTACATCCACCCTGTACACTTGACCGACTGACGTCTGAAAGGAGGCAAATATAGGGACGATTATCAGCAACAATACAATATGAAGACTAAGAGGGGCAAAAGTGCAGCAGCTAGTGTGTGAAGTACTGCCTAAAAAGCCTTTTTAGGATTTGATAATGACTTTTCCCCACGGAGAGGTGCAAAAGAAGCAAACTGTTTCGAGGCTGGGATTCAGTAGAGGTTCACTCCATGTAAAAATCACCCAAATCTGCAAAGAAATTTCCACCTGACCTCCTCAGAATCAGCCGTTACGATTTTTCTGTATAACAACTTGAGCTTATTTAATGAAGCCCTGAAGGCCCTCAACATACAAAGAAGGTGGGCTTAACATGTGGACTTGATTCGTCTGGATTTGAGTTCTCATAACCTTTACAGTCCAGGAGAAAGACACATGTCATTTTCATGACTCTTAAAAAAAACAAAACGAAACTGAGTGTTTCGTGTGTCGTATCATTTTACCTCATTTTCACAGTCGTTCTGTCCGTTTTCCGAGTTCCATATTCTGATGACGATGTCGGTCGTGCGGAAGTGAAAGTCCGGATGATCAGCGATGTCGTAGACACTGACATCCTCCTCCAAACCGATGACCTAAACAACACAGAAACAAACGTTTACAGCGTATTTCTCCTCGTACCTCTGTCGCTCACAAACATTCAAACACTGATTGTTTTCACAAGCTTTAAATCACAATCACGGTTTTTTCTCCTGACTGACCTCCACGTCGTCACTGGTGGAGTTGAGTTTGATCCATTTCACCACACACGTTCTGCCTTTGTGATCGCCAGACTGGATCATGCCGTACACCCCGGGGTCCTGCAGCGCTTGGGCTGAGGTGAGCACACATGCATAGCTTAGAGATCAAAGTAAACTCTGTAAAACACAAATATCTGTACTTTTTGGATTCCCGTTTTAAAGAATATTATGATGTGAAGTTAACCTCTATGGACTTTTTCATTTGCAGAATGGCACTACCGTACATGGCTGTAACATCACCATTGTGATGTAAATCCCGGTGTATTCAGGCCATTTTACAGAGACGCTTTGGCACAGTTACAGAAAATGACCTACATACTGCAGGTACTAAGTGGCAGAGAGGCCCATACACAAAAATACCCACCAATCTGAGATCAAATCTGAGATAAAAGCTTTTCCTTACGTCGTTTATCTACTACAAAGTCGCCGGGGCAAAACTCGTGGCTGTCCAGGTGCTGGATGGGGTAGAGGTCGTTCGATCGGATCCCCTTCTCCACCCGGCCGTCCTTCCACATCACATCAGCCGTGGTATTCGTGGATACGACTTCCACTGCCACTCTGCAAAAAAAAAAGAACAGAAAAAGAAAGCAGAGACCTCAATCTTCTCTCAGATTTTTCAGTTTTCTCAGATGACTTTTATCCTGCTTCACTGCCATCTGTCTGGTCCTGCTGCATCCATTGTGATAACAGTGTGCAGTACAAAAGTGGAACACTCTTACACTTAACCTCAAATTGATTATTCTTAAAAATATTCAAAACTAAAGCAAATAAAGGAATGTGGATGTTTGAATGATTTTTACTTCTGCTCTATTTAGATTTACATCAGTGTCTTCCACCATTAACATCTACACCAGTTAAAAAACATAAAAAACAACACACCGACAGACACACCAATGACTAAAGTTGATGTGTGCATTTTGGAGTAAAAACAGATGAAGGATGTGCAGCGTGTGAGTTGAGTATGAGTGTGTCTGTGTGGCTGAGGAAATGACACCATCACTGAAAGACTTGTGTCTGTCAAGTTGACGGATCGAGTCGCAAACCCTTAAACAAATGAAAGCTGGATGGACAGACATGCAGTCAAAGTGAGAGATGGCAGGTCTTTCTGAGAAAGCAGCTGCAAATTTAACAGGAACAGATGTCATAACTGGTGTCATTTCCACGTCTCTTACAGACGACTCTAAAAACATAAACAGTGGACTGCTAAGTTCCTAAACAGCCAGAAGAGCTGCTCGAACTCTGGTGACAAACAGAAGAAACTAGATGGAATTTACTCTCGTGTGCCGGCGTTTGTGATTTTAACCCACCGGTCTCCGGGCTTGAATTCGCGGGAGAACTTTGTCCTCTTCTTCTTGTGCTTCCTCTTCAGGTTGCGGATGGAAAGCGGGATGCTCTTCTTGCGGTTGGTTCCCAGACCGCCGCTCTGAGAGGAGGCTGTGGAGCTCGCCGATGACGTTAAAGAGCTGCAGCGAGGGAAACAAGTTCTTTATGCAAAAGCAATTTTCTGTGTATTAAGCATGCAAAAACTCATTTTTTCCCCTCAGTCAGGCTGTGCATTATTAGGTTTACTGAGTGATGTCTTTGGTCTGAACTGTAATAAAGTGATGAGGAACAAAGCGGGTCCAGTGTTGAACAATAAATTTATGCACTCAACACATACAGGAAACATTTTAGACAACTGTGCAACAGATCTGCAATAAATCCCACATTCATGAAGCTTTTAAGCTCCACGTGATGTTGAAGTCACATTTAGAGCAGTTTTTCCCGCTCAAATTTCCACTTTGGACTGTTTACTCACACGAGCATACAGCACTTTATTTTGTGCACTCTAAGCATTTAGTCTTCATGTCCACGACCAATTTAGAGACACCAATTAACCCAACATGCATGTCCTGGGACCGTCTTTGGTTCGAGACACGATGATTCAGCTGAACTGTTACTTTCTCTAAACCAGGCTTTAGTCTCTCTGGTTTCCAACAAAACACATTTCCATCCCTTTCAGTTTAATATAATACTGAGTTAAAATGTGTAGAGCTGTCCGATATCTCCCTTTCCCCAGAATCTAACACTTAGGCTGTGTTTTCATATATTTGTGGGGACGTAATTGACATAATGCTTTTTCTAGCCACTTAGCCTAAACCTACCCATAACCTTATTGCAACCCTGACACTAAAACCACATTTTGAGTCTCAAAATGCCTTCAAACTCATGGGACCTGGATTTTGTCCCCATAAGAGCTGTTGGTCCCACAAGCATAGTAAACTTACAATTTTTGGTCCCCACAAAGATATGTAAACACACACACACACACACACGACTGATTTTAATTAACAAGCAGCTCAGCTGTATTAATGATGTACACTGAACCTAAACATCTGCTGGGCATCTCAGCTGATTAATTACAATAAGCAGAATAATTAGTAGCAACTCCGACATAACAGAAAGCTGACTTTTTATTTCCTAATGCAAAAGATAAAAAAATAAAAAAATCTGTAACCACTCACGAGGATCATCACAAATATATATTAAAAGCGTTTCCTACTGTCAACCTAATTCTCCTCCATTTAGTTTTAGACCAAAATGGTAAGCCCTCACTTATGTTTTCAAAAAAAATTTAATATTACACGAATTAACTATGAATTTTAAAATTATTAACATCTACAAAGAAGCGGTTTGTATAGATGTTTGTTTTAAAAGCACAGAAATAAAAGATGGAAAAAAAAGACATCGTTGAGATTCTACCAAACCATAACACAGAATTCATTCAAACATGCCTTACATCAGGGCTGTCAAACTCAAATACACAGTGGGCCAAAATTCAAAACTGGATCAAAGTCGCAGGCTAACATTAATATTCATTGAAAAAAATCTTCCTCCAAATATAACAAGGAATCTTTTCTTATGGACTCAAACAAGTTTTGCTGAAAAACTGAATATGGAACAAGCAAAGCTTAATACTAAACAATATATATAACTTATATAAACGTATATATAACTTAATATTGCACACATGCCTTCTGAATTAAATTTTATCATTTATCATATTTTCATCATATTCTCCCACTTGTCCAGAAAGTTCCTGTTTTCTGCCTTTCTTTTTTCCATTTTGGGATAGGTAGCATGGCAGTATTTGCATGGTTGCTATGACTATGGTCAACAGAGGAGAGGGTGCTAATGGGTCCTGTCATGACTGACGCCAAAACAACAACAGAGCATTCTGGGAATTGTAGTATTAGCAGTACATGCACTATAATACTGGCAGGCCAGCTCTAATAGTAAATTTGTATGGCTTCGCGGGCCAAATGTAATTAGGCTGCGGGCCAAATTCTAAATGATACTTTTCTTATTATTAAAGGAAACCGACAAGGATTGCCTCAAGTTTTTAATTTCTTAAATTTGAATAAAAATGACTCAAAGCTATAATAAATTATATTAGAGCATTTTAGAATTGCTTATAGATAAATTAGACAGCATAAATGTTTTTGTAAAGGGTAATAACTAGGACCCTGACCTGGTGTCGTCGGTTTCCTCTGCAGCCTCGTCATCAGCGTCCTGCTCGCCTTGTTCAGCCGAGGCGTCGTTCTGCGAGTCCGGAGCGTTCTGAACGGGAACCGCGGGACCGTTGTTGTTGTTGGGATGATTCGAGTCGGTCTGTTCAGATCTGTGCTCGCCTACAGGAAGAAACAAAGTAAAAAAAAGATTTACATTCATCCAGTCAAAAGGAAAAATCATCAAAATTCTATTTGCGAAGGAATTTAATTAGCAACAAAGAAGTTATGGTTCTGTATAACCAGGTGAGGCTCTATAGTACAAAACCTGGTTATTTATATACGCTAGAATTGTATATAAGAGCCACTGGAAATAAACGATATAAGAAGGTGGGGAGATTATAGACTCAAGAATATTCTCCTTAAAAAATGGGTTTTTTTTAATTAAAAGGGAATGAATCATTCCACCTCTTAAAGTTCTCTGAATATCACTCTCCTCCCAGATCTGTTCTCTCCTCCTCTGTTTTTACCTGATACGCTGTCAGTCTATTACCGACAAATGTGCTTCTCAGCTCAGGTCTGGCCTGCTTCAGCAAAATTTCCAATTAGTCTTCTCCCTCAGTACTGAGCACTTTTAATTAAATATATTTAAAAAAAATTATATATCTATCGCTATCTATCTATATATAGTAAAAATACAGCCTCTTGAAATCTGATCTTTTTTGATACATGCTGTATTACTGGGTGTGTGTTTTATGATCTTCTGGATGTTTTGGCACCTTGTAATTCGGCGTTCTCCGTCTTCTTCCCAGAATCCTTCTTGAACAGCCTTTTCAACTGCGCACTCTCACACACACACACACACACACACACACACACACACACACACAAGCAGTGAGATAGAGCAAAAGCTTGAAGATGATCAAAGAGTGTTTTCAGGTGCTATCAGTCCTTCTAACACTGAGTGTTAACAAACATTCGAGAGCAACACTCGGAAAATACACCAGCATCAGAGATCTTCCCTGCTCTTGTGTAAAGCAGCTGGTTTAAGGTGCTAATGTGCTCCTCTGGGGAAAAAACAGCTCTTTACAGAAGGAAACAACCAATTAAGAACACATGAAAAGACCAGTGCAAGTTTATCCACACCTTTCTGGCAACGGGGTCTTCAGGCAAAACAGGGGCACCCTCAGGTCCATCACAGGTGATGCGTGTGGCATCACCTTTGGCCGGGAATACGTAGAGGGCCCTCTCTCCCAGCTGCCTCTGGGTGTGGTCGTAGTAGCCCAGACGCCTCACCCTAAATCCAAACGGGAGAATGACTTTAACTTAAAATCTAAACGATATCAATACACGATGCAAACTGCACCCAATAAGCAACGGTAACAAGAGCAGCTTGTGTACGGAGGCAGACGTAGCTGAAGTGGGCACGTGTGGATGAGTCACTGCACTGACCTGCAGAGGTTTTCCTGTGTGATGGTGGAGGCAGGCGGATAGACGCTGTCAGAACCTTTGGGCGAGTAGCTCTTGGTGATCCACGTCACTTTCAGCTCCACCACCTTCACCTGAAGGAAGCAAGATGACATCCAAGTGAGTGTTTACATTCATGAAGAAGTACATTTACACATAAACTCCAATTCATTAAAAACAACTGAACGTGTTGATTAAAAGAATATTGTTCCATCTGCCTGAATTCATCTCTCGAGTGATCGCTAGCTTTCGCTGTAAAAGTAAATAAACATTTTAATTACAAAAAAAAAAAAATCCCCAAAAGGCTTAAATTAAGATAAATAATTCACTTAATGGTTTTACTGTTTCTTCCCATTTTTTAGAAAGGGTCCCCAGTGGTCCAACAGCTGTTGGTGTGATTAAAGAGCATTTTCTTATTTTATACAGAAGGGAAGAATTCAAAATGTTCATCCAAAGATTTTAATTTAAATTCAGTCGCTTATTATTCAAACGAGAAAAGTTTCAAGGCATAACAAACTCTTATAATAACCAACGAACCCTAAACGGGTTGCTTTCCATCTCACATAATGTGGCTGCTGCATAAAAGAAAAGATTGCGTACCTCTTCTACCACCACCCTGAACTTGCACTTCCTGCTGAGCACAGGTTTGACCCCTGACAACCACTGGACATTGGAGAAAACTTTGGCGGGACCAATCAGGACCTGTCCCGGGTAAAAGCCGTACGCCTCGTCAAAGAACAGACCCTGGATCCCAAAAACAACAAGAACGTCACAAAACCAAGAAGTGAGAGCACAACATAACAAAGATACAAGTACATGTATGAAGCTTCATCAGTGTAACTTTTATTAAACATACAATACCAAGTACATTTTTAATTTGTTTTTCTTGAAGCTGCACAAAACCGTGAGGAAAGAAAAAAAGTCAGCAATGGGATGAATGATCTATACTTCATAATGATGCTCATCAGGGAAAGACTAAAACTTTGGGCCTCTGAAAGTGCAGACCCTCTCATCCTCATCATCATCTTTCCTGGAAATGCCAGCATTAGTATGTGCTGCTTTTATGTGTGCTTCTTTTATCTCAAACATAACCCTCCACAGAGCAGTTTGGACCTGCGGCACCTTCGTGTCAGAGTAAGCCCGGGATTAAATCTGAAGTTATCTACTAAGCCTAAAGTCCTGCTCCATAGTACAGGCTCCTGGACACCTGAAGCTGAGGACTGATCCTCAAATAACAGCGAGCACCAGAAGAAATAAAATACAAAGACGGGAGCAGCACGAGTGGAGAGGGACAGCATTATCAGAGCATGTTCAAACGTAATTTTAACAATTTGACACACAAACACAAAAAAAATAGTGAACAGACAGCTGTCACTTAAATTTCAGCCTCTGTGGGGGCTCTGACCTCTGAGCAGCAGCCGGGAGAGCACACGAACAAAGCGAATGTACCTGAAGTGACAGATCAGAGCTGGTGGCTACGTACCGAATCACTGACGTGTGGACAGACATCATAAAGCTTGGCACCGTCTTCCACGCTCATGGAGCACCTGGAGGGAGCGAGACGAGACATTCACTGGATGTGGCACCGATCGACGTACGTTCACGCGATCCAACAGACCGTCACATGGTCACAGTACACACTGCCTGCACACGCACGCACGCACGCTTTACCTGGCTCCATTGGACAGCTTGAGGATGATGTGATTGGTCAGGTCGTACACTTTCCCCAGCCAGAAGTCGTAGGCGATGTAGTCGCCGTACATGAAAGACTGAAAGCAACAACAGCAGGAGCACATCAGCTTCACACTGTGTCAGAGAATTAACTCATGAAGGGCTTTTTCTTCTCGACTCTGAATGAAAATTCACTCTACATTCTGCTGCTCGGTGTAACCTGACTGCTTAAGAGAAACTGAATATAGTAAATGTATCTAAAATCCAACAATATGACGACAACTTTGGATAACAACATCCAATTACATCATTTTGTATCCATCGCTTACTCAAACGCAACAAAGGTGCATTTAATCCTCTTAATGACTGATGCCAGAAATAATCTTTAGAGTAGTTTCCATTCACATTTGTTGATATTCATCTGGGTTTTCCTGCACATAAAAACATTTGTCTTCCACCAAAGACGTTCTGGCCTTTCAATAAAGGAAAAAATCACTTTTAAAATGTGCTTTCAATCCCTTTAAATTTCCTTAAGATAGGGTTTAATTTACTCAACAATTACTCATAAAAACAAGAAAAACATTATTTTAAATCAATGAAAACCTCTGGGCAGCTGTGGCTGGTTAGTGGTCTTATGAACTTGTTAAACACTGTATATTTGGACCAATCAGAGTTAAATGTATGGTCACCCCCTTAAAGGCACCGTTTGAGGTAACAGAATCTGATTTAAATGTCAAAGTATTCGAATTTATTTCTGCACTTCAGTGCTTAAATTTCTGCAATGTGCACAATAAACGTGCGCGGACGGTGACCTTTTTAAGAAGATCGCCTCGTTAGCACTTGTTGTGGGAAGTGAGTGACTCTCTGCTGTCCCTGTGAGGTGCAGCCGACAGGACAGCAGTGATTATGTTACTGAAATCAGCTGTAAGGTTTGTAGACGAATCCAACAGTCGGTAAAACAGCTACACGAGTGCTGTGCACCGCATTTGATCTCAGAAAAGGAAATAAAGACTAAACCCATGCAGTGCTGTGAAAGCATCTGTGTGTGAGAGCAAAGGCTAGTTAGCAGCTATGAGCCAGATCACACTGAGTTCCAGCTTTACGTTTTCCATTCAGTTTAACATCAGTTTGTTTCCAGAGCTGATTTGCTCCTGTCTGCCTGTTTAAAAAGGTTTCGTTTTAATGCGGTTTCTATTCATGTGTGTGTGTTTTCTTATTAATACGTTACAGGTCGCATTAGGAAGATGCTAAAATGTAAGATGTTTAGAACAGCAGAGACACTGTAGAGATACTCGACTCCAAGAAGGTCAAATGTCAAACTTTTGCACCACTGTTTCCATCAGGTCAGATGTGTGGATGAATCTGACTGAAGACTAAAACTAAACACACTTCCTGCATTTTTATTATAAAAAGATTTGTAGGTGCATAAAATGCTTTT